TTTTACATGCACATGCTGAAATATTTGCTAACCTATCATCTCCCCTGTCAACCATAGGGCCTCTGTACAAAGGCAGAAAAGCTGGAGATGCCCAGTAACTTCACTTGTAATTTACACCCTTGGTTACTCTCATGCACACTAACGCTCATAAATAAATGCCATAGGGTTTTAAGTGAGGCTTAACTAATGCTGAGTAACCAAAATTTTATTATGCTCTGCTGTATAATATCTATCTATTTGGCACTTACACATATAAAGTCCAATTTCTAATTCTTTACGTTACATTAATTTTTAAAAATAAATTGTACTCTTTCAGTAGTACATGGAATGAGAGAGACAAAACAAACAATGAGAAATGTTTACAGGGTGAGTTCTTCCTTCACCAATGTGATTGAGTTTTGTTTAATAACGTTGATGCAATGGAATATTCATTTCCCCGTCACAGGCCAAAATAAAATATTTCTTGTATCCCATAGGGGAGAATTCCTGTGCTGAGTTTAATTTTTATGACTGCATGATTTTGTGGTTAGGTCAGCTCCTCTTGAAACACTCCCAAGATGAATATTTGCCTTCAAGGTTTTCCTCTGACATGTTGTCCAGTTTGAACCTCTGCACTCTAAAACAAGATCTTTGCCACAAAAGGGTTCAACTTCAGAAAAATCTGCCTTTTATGCATCTCATGAATATGAGACTGCTTCAAGCTTTCCTTTCTGACCTCTGCCCTATTTACTGCAGTTCAATTGTCTCACACATTTATTTAAGCTAATGATAGAAGCATTAAGCAAAAGTTGAAAAAAAGGACAAATGGATTCATCATGAAAATGCACTATGCCATAAAAAAGTCTACACACTAAGATGCTATTCATAGAGGGTAATAAATTTATGAATCCCATTGCCTCAAGATATTATATAGGCTATTATACATAACTAGGCTCAAGAAGTACAACAGTAAGCTAGTAAATAAGATTGGGATGGAAGTGGCAGGCTTATCGCTTACCTTTGGGGACTTTGTGGAGGTGAGTAGCACATTGCATCACTCAGAGAGGTGCTCAGCTGGGGCATATTAGCTTCTTGTGGCTGCTATAACAAATCACCACATATTTGGTTAAAGGAAATTATTTTCAGTTTTGGAGGAAAGAAGTCTGAAATCACACTGTTGAGAGTATACATGCTCTCTGGAGCGCTAGGGAAAAATTCACACAGCTTCTGATGCCTGCCTGGTTATGTCGATCTCTACCTCTGCATTCATGTTGTCTTTTCTCTTCTGTATTATAACAAATGATTGTACTTAGGGCGTGCTCTTAAGATCCCTCCCTACTGTAATCACATTTCGTGCCATATTAAGTAGTATCTTCCTTTCCATATAATGCCATTTTCACAGGTTCTAGGAATTAAGATCTTGTATATATCATTTTGATGCCATGCGTCAACTCCCAGAGAGGGATTTTCATTATAGGGTTGCTTTGTGTCCATTTTCTTTATAGTCAGAGGATGATACTACCCTCATCTAGGCCTTCATTCCTTTCATAGCCCTCTAAACTTGAGCTTTCTCTTGCCTCCCTCTCCATTCCATACATTAGTAATGAGCACTAGCTCTGCTGGATGATAAGAGAAACAAATATATTTGAGAACCACTGGCTGTAGGATAACACTAACACTTAACAGAACTTCTCAGAGGCTTACCATGCCAACTGTCTTTCAGATGCTCCCAGAAGACTTTTTCCAGATTCTTTTAACCATGAGCTCCCTAGATAGTATTTTATAGTAGGTATTTCGGGAAACCAGGCTCTAAGACAAATGTCTATAACATCAAGCACCATTTTATTTTTCCTCAAAAAAACAAATATGAGCCTATGTCTCTCCTCATTGCCTTTGCAGGTTATGATTTCCTCATAATTATTTGAATTAATATGAGGAACCTCGTTGCTTTTCAATTTAATGAGTTCTCTTTGGATTTGAGTAGAGTTTCTTACTTTTGGGTTTGTGTGAGAGTCAATAGCTTTCCCTAGAGCCATCTAGCTACTATAATCTAAACATACACATTGTCCAAGAAAAGCTGTATTAGGCTTCTGCAATTGTGCTGGCTCACTCTGGGTAGAGAGCCAAAGCTTCCTGTAAAAAACTTGTGTGTTCTCAGCTTGACACTTCCAAGTCAGGCTGCCAAGTTTATATCTTTTAGAGACTGAGCAGATCGAAAAAAGAATGCTATACCAACTCCCTTACATCTTTTATTTCTTTCTTTTGGAGTCAGGTAAGGAAAGAAGAGTATTATTTTATCATAACAGGTTGTTATATTTTTAAACTTGAATTCTCTTTCATTATAACAGGCTCTTTATAATCTTTTTATGTTTTCTTCATCTGGCTATTCAGTATGTATCTAATGAAACTTTCTAGTGTGCCAACTCCTGTGGTTGGTTTTGGAGGAGAAAAAGTTCTTAAATCTGGATGAGATTCTGTTTATTTTTAAGAACATTCTCTCTTTAGGACAGCATGAAAAATGTGTACATTATGAAGCACTTGAACAGCACTGTGAGGAATACATTTTAGTAATGAAGTATAGTAAAAGATAAACTATGCTAGGGAAAATTTGCAAAAACAATATTTAAATTGAATCTTGGAAAATGAATAGACGTTCATTAACTAAGGAAGTATAATCCATGATGGGAAAATAGCACACACAGAACACAGGCTAGCACAGTGTGTCTGAGGAGTGGTGAGAAGTTCATAGTTATTACACGGAGGTAAGAATGAACTGAAAAGAGAGGGTGAAAAATTTAAACTAATCTCTAATTCAGAGGGTTCTGCTGAGATGCTTAGGCACTGTATCGCAGAAATCCAGTCTTTGGAGAGCTTTACATAAAGAGTTGACGTTACATTTATTTTGAAAGATAACTACAGAAGACAAGACATGTGAAGATATGTTTTAAAGATTACTACTAAAGAAATTTAATATTAGTTTGTTTTAAAAGTTTGAGAACCTAATCCTAAACAGTGAAATCTGAGTCAAAACTAACAAGATTAAATAACTGAGTGACAATATTGCTGACTCTAACGTTTTGTTTGGCTTCACCCCCTAGAGATTGGGGGTGAATGTAGTAAACAGTGTGGCAAGAAAAGAAATTGCCTGAGAGTGGTTTGTGGATGAGCCTCGGTAGAGAACTACTTACTGCTTTGTGAGTAGGAACATAATGTAAGGTATTCATTGGTGGCCGACTACAGCATCTTAGCCGGTTTCCTGATGCTGTAACTAAGTATCACAGACTAATTTTTAAAAATAGGCTGTTATTTAACTCAACATTCTTGCACCTGAGAAATGCAAGAGCATGCTATCAGCATCAGGTAAGGACCTTCTTTTTGCCTGACATAAGGTAATGCCTGACAATAATTACATGATGCAAAGTAAACAACCACAGAGAATTTTTTTTTAAATAACAAAGCTATTGTTGTGATAAAGAACCTACAGCTATGATAGCAACATCATCCATTCATGAGAACAAAGGAATATGTTTCTAATGCACGAAGTTTGGGAGGAGACATTTAAGCCATAGCCAATAGACTTTTAGTCAACCTCCATTCCACTCCCCTGTAGTACATCTTGATATTTTATAGTGCACCACTATGTGATACTGCTAAAATCTACCTTTCCTCGACCCATTTGTCCCTACCCATCAATGTGTGCTCTTGACTGCTGAAAGCTAGAAGTAGACATCCTAGGTAGGGTCCGTGCTCTTCTGCCTTCCACAGTTTCCACTGGCAAATATGCCTTTGCGGGTACTTGTATCTTCCATGAAAGTTAGAGTAGCATTTCCTATGTTCAGTTTTAGTGTTGAAAGCGGATGGGGTTATTCATTTTGTGGGTAGAAGTTGTGGGAGGATTCAGATAATAGTTCTGGAGCTGGCAACCTGCTGCTTCTAACCCTGTAATCATGGTGGAGGCAGTGTTTCTCACAGAGGCTGGTTCTAGATGTTTGTAGGAATTGCTCCTGGTAGCTCTACTTAAAGTCTCTTCCTCAAGTGACTCTACAAATCATAAAATGTCAAAAAATTTTTTTCTTGCCTAACTAGAATGATTTCCATCATCTGTATCTGATTTGTGGCCAATTTACCTTCAAATAAAATATGTTATCAGGAAATTATTTAAAGATTGTTCTCTTTATAGGATATGTTTGGCATTATGTAAATTTGATGGCTACAGAAAGCATGCTAATCCTCTCAGTCATGAGATTATGGAGGACATGACCTTGTCTTAGAGATCTTTGAGTGCCTACTCCCTAGAGCACTGGCTTGTACTTGTTGTTCAATGAATTTTTAGGTTTCTTGGAATTAATTGAATTGCCTGAACAATTTGTGCTCTTCCTAATAGTGTCAGATAATATAGTTGGCAATCTCCCTAACTCTGATAGTTGTTTTATATGATAAATTGCCCATGTTGTTAGTATCTAAAATGCTTTGATCTCAATTCTTGAGAATTCTCAAATGCACACCATCTGGCTCCAATGACTCATGGAAATTTAATGTCTTGAGCTGTATTCACCACCTGTTGTTTCTTTTTTGTTTTGTTTTGTTTTAATGCTGGTAGATCACTTGCTTTCAATGAAAAGTAATTCTTTAGTAAAAATTCCACATTTATCCCATCACAGATGATCGCTGATTGAGTGATACAGAAAAACAATTCTACCTTCGCTAATTCTCAAATGCTCCTGTTCTCCTCAATGAGTACATCACTGCAGTTTTTACCTTGTCACCTACTACCTTTGAACTCTTCCACTATTCTTGTAAGAGAATGGCTTTTGTGCAATGGATTTTATTGGATTTGGTTGTTAGGATCCCTCTCACATTTCAGCGGTATTCATATCTGGTGTTTTATGTCAATATTGTTACCTCTACCATATGTTGTGTATCTTATTGTAAATGTTTGTAATGTCAGTTCTTTATAGGGTGAGCGCCCTTGAAAAGGCTTCCTACCCATTTCTGTGCAACAGAACAACTAACAGAACAACTATAGGACACATGGGATAGGGACATAAGTGCCCCTTCTGTACCACCAAGATGCTTTTTCTAGCAAGCTGAACTCAAACCAGAGAAGGGATAGAGGGTTATTGGTTCCCAGAACTGAGAAGAAAGGCTTCATATCCAGGTAAAATGGAAGGTTTACTCTATTTCTTCTTGAGTTTCTTAGTTTGCTTCTATGTGTCTTAGCTTCATCCTGAAGTTGGCTTCTGCATATTTGCAAGACAACTGTCAATAGTGGCATACAGACTTGCCATCCACTGCACAGAATTCAGAAGCTTTGCTGTGATTGGGACATTCTCTGACTAGAAGCATATGTACATTCCTGGAGCAACTTCATGCACTTTGTTCATGAATGTTACCCAAGGAAACAGATTTGAATGGAAGCTGGGAAAGAATTTATGATATCTCTTCATACTATGACCCAGTTTTGTTGTGGTTTGCCCTGGACTCCCAAAGGCCAGTTAGGCATACTTTCCACTATACTTAGTTCCAATATATATTATTGCTTCATTTGGACATTTTCCTACTTATTCCATTAACAATGATAATCTCAGAGAAGGCTTTATTTATTTTATACCTCTGTTATTGATGATCTTTATATGCTTTTGAAGTCTTGTCACTGTAGAAAATCAATAAATATTGGTTCTCTATCTATATGTCACTATGATTATGTGGCTTTGGAATAATTTAATTTATACATTTTTATATATCCCTGATGTGGTTTAGAGATAGTTTGTCTCCAGAAATCATGATGAAACTTAATTCCCATTGTGAAGTGTGAAGAGAGCATAAACTTAATTTAGTTGTGACATTTAGAGGTGGCATCTTTGGGAAATGATTAGGATTAGATAGGTTTTCTTAGGGTAAAATCCCATGATTCAATAATAGTGGCGTTATGAAAAGAGAGAGAGGGATCAGAAACAGAGGTACATATATTACCATGTAATGTTCTTCAATGCTTTAGAACTCAGCTAGAAAGAGAGGCACTTCCAGATTGACCTAAAAAAGCCTCTTTTCTTTATGTGTTACCCACCTTTGTGGAGTGCACGATGGTAACAAAGACAGACAAATACATGATTGATCTTTTGGGTTGTATTAGGCACAAATAAACAATCAATCTATCAGTCAGTAAACACATATTAGTCTGCCTGCATGAAAGGCATTTGGTTGAAGTTTGAGGGGAAATAACAAGGAGTATGATACATGCAGTGTCACATTAAAATATTTCAAAATAAATATAAATGTGTGATGTCTATCTGCAGGTCTGTACCCTCCTTCTTAGAATTCTCTCTGGTGTTTTTTGTGGTTCTTAGTGGTATTGTGCCTACTGCTCCCTTTCTGTGGCTCCATTTCTTCTATGGTGCTGGGGAGGCTGGTTCATCTTCTCACACAACTTTTGAGGATTTCAAGAAGAATGAAGCTCGTGGTTCATCTTGGGACCAGTGAAAGGTTGCACACAAATGATATCACAGTGCTGCAAAATAGCAATCAGCATCAGAAGCAACGAAAGCACTCAGAACAATAGAGTCAAACAAAAATGGATAAAAGTCAGCCAGGTGACAAATACTGTTAACAGAGGGAACAGTATAAGTAGTGTGAGTATTATACTGAGCTATTATGGAAGTCTGAGTACATCACCATAGCTGGATTTAAATATCTGAAAACTTACTGGGAAAAGCCTCATTTTCCATTTTCTCATTAAACTGGTAGGGCTAAAGCTTCTGGTGATCCTTAAATCAATATTTGACACTAAAAGGCACAATTTTCTTCATGAATACAAGATGAAGCTATAGCCAGAAGAGACCTTTTAGTACCTTCTTTGCTAAATAGTTAGAAAAATTCTGTCTCTAGAGCCAGGACTACATAAGAGGAAGAGGGTTAAAACAACTCTCTGCCTGGAGTGATTTCAGAGGGTCTCTTCACAAAACATCTTCCCAGTGGGGTTTCCCTCCTCTCCTACCTGCCCCCCAATTCTCCACAGCTAATGCACTGACTACCAAGGTCGATAAAAGTGGGGCATCCCTTCAATAGAAATTCTAAGTGATGATGCAGGCCTGCCGAAAGAACTCATTATCCTAGATTAGCTCATTATCTTTGAGATGAACTTCAGAAAAATTTCCTGTTCTCGGTGAAAAAAAGGATGAGATCACAGGGTGCAGAGGGAGGCAGGCTGGGCAGGGAAGGGGCAGCTAGGGTTCCATGTGAGAAATTCATTTAACAGTGTTAGTTTAGCTGTCTCTCTGTTTCTTGTGGGTCAAGATTTATTTTTTTCCATTTTATGGCAGATAGAAAAAATGTCCCACCCCATCACTCGAAGATGTCTATATCCTAGTTCTTAGAACATGGGAATTATGTTGCCTTCCATAGCTAAGGGGCTTTCTTGATGCATTTGAGAATTATGCAATGGAAAAGTTACGTTGGATTCTCTGGGTAGGTTCAACATATGTTATAATCACAAAGGTGCTTATAAGTGGAAGAGAAGTCAGAGAGTCCAAAAAGGAAGTATAATAATAGAAACAGGTCTCTGACACAAGCAGAACCCAAGAAATGTGGGAAGCCTCTAGAGACTGGGAAAGATTCCTTCGGAATCTTCAGAAGGCCTCCAGTTCTTCCAAGCCCTGACTCTTACTCCTATGAGGCTTATTTTGCAATTCTTACCTTGAGAACTATCACATAAAAAGCTTACTATAAGAAATAAAGTTTTGGTAATTTTTCACAGAATGCTATGGTTCGAATTTGCCTTCAAAATCTCATATATAGGAAACATAACCCTCAAACTTATATGCAAATAGTATGTGGGTAGGAGACTTTAGTGTCATGAAGACTCTGCCTTTGCAAATGATTAATCTTTTGTGGATTAATGGATTAATGAGTTATTGAGACAGTGGTTTTGCTATAAAAAAACCTCTCTCTAGCTTGATTGCTCTACTGCACCATTTGATACCCTCTACCACATATTAAGATAATGCCCTGACCAGATGCTGGCTCCTTGCTACTGGACTTTCTAACCTCCAGAACCATAAGATAGTTAAGTCATTTTTCTTTGTAAATCACCCAATCCACTGTGGCATTTAATTACAGTGTCAGAAATGGACTAAGGAAAGCAGCCATAGTAGATTATTACATCTCTATTCACCTGTGGCTCATTATCCATGAAGTTGTCACCTCCTCATATACCATTCTCTTCCAGCACCAAGTCTGTTTGATGGTTTTGGCTCTGTGGGTTAATTTCAGAACAATGTCTCTGGATCAACCTTTTAGCAGAACTAGAAGTTCAGTACAAGCTACAACTCTGGGGAAACCCAAGTTGGTGTATGGGACTCCAGCACCCAAGACTGAGTATGACACCACCAAAGTGCTGTGATGTAGAGCAGAGGCAAAGCATAACATGAAGCAGGTACACACAGGATTGGAGGAACCAGGATAGGCATGAGACAGGGAAAGTCAAGGACAGCTTCACATTTGACTGAAAGACGTGTGTTGGAATCCACACACTGAAGGACCCAGTGACTCAGGTGTAAGATATATGGATCTTGGCCAGCTGGCCTAGGATATTTTTGGTCAGAAACAGGGAGCAAAAGATTCCATTAATAGGTAGTTACTCTCTGGGTTAACACAACTCATACTAAACAAAAATAGAGTTTAAGACATCAGCTGTCCCTCAATGAAACCTACTGTGTGTCCATGGAACAAAATGAGCACGTACTTAGGAGTTTCTCAAGTGGATCCCTCCAGAGCACTCGTCCTGCCCTGCAGTTTATGAAAGAAAATCCTGTGATAAAGTAACTTTAACAGTACTGCCAATGTTATCTCACCTCAGAGGTTCCCAAATGTACATGAATATATTGAAAGCTTCTTAAGATAAACTCTTTCCTGAAGTTGGATTCCATCATGGAAACCTGTTTCTCTTCCCTCATGTAAATCAAAAGATAAATACAGGACATTCTACTCTGGTTCATCATATTAAGATTTTTCTGCCTAAAACTTTTTTTGTATATTTCAAAAGAAATATGCCAAAACAGAAAGGAGCCAAGGTGAGAGTGCTTACATCCTATTCCTGAGTGGGACTTTAGCAATGTCTAATATTTTGCAAAATTAACAGATTACATGGAAGTAATATTCATGTTTTCTTCAAATCTTAGGTAGAACATAAAGAATTTATCACCATTTGGTAGGTTGCATATGAAATTTACAGACAGCCAGTATTTTATTATAGCTAAAAAAAGAGAAGTCCTCTGAAAGATGAATGATGTAAAAACCGTGAGAATATAGACAGTTTACTTTCTCACAATCTAAATACACTGAGTTATTTTTCAAAGAGTGTTCTCATGAGAGAGGTAAAAATGTATTTGTTTAACAGCTATATATAGGATAACATGGAAAATACATTTCTGGGTTTACTGAACTTCCTTCATATATCTACTGACAATCAAATTACCTTAAAAACACACAGCTTAGAGCAGCGAGTCATTCAGTAACACAGAATAGCAAGTAATAAAGTCAGTTTTGATATTTTTTTTATCTCATTCCATTGCTAAGGGGGAAAGAAATGTGAAAAAAGATGTGTCTAGATCTAGAGTGTGTGGTGCTGGAACTGATTCATGGTACAGTTCTAGGACTGAGGGAATTATAATTCAAGGTGTGCTATTCACACAAAGTAGCTTGGATAAATATAAGGAATAGAAAGGGCTGTGATTGTCCCTTATTGCTTTTCTACCTCCTACCCACCTATGAACCCCTCTGCAGTGCCTGTGTGCTGTGCCACCCTGACTTGGAGCCAGCCAATTATGGACTGAAACATCTGCACACTGTGAGCTAAATAAACCTTTCTTCCCTTAACCTGTGGGTGCTGGGAATTTTGACTCAGCAATGAGAATAGTAACTGAGACATCTCTCCAGCCAGCATTCTTTGGATATAACATTCCTCCCGTCTCTACTTGTGTGGTGCTTCTGTTCTCCAAATTCACCTCTATCTAAATCTATCACACTATCATTAAAGATTTAATCATTTTCTCCAGGTCACAGAATGAGAAGCCACTATTTAAATCCAGGCATTTGGCTCCTAGACCCTGCAGGGTTAACTACTCCACTGAAATTATAAAATACTGCAATGATGGTATTGAA